CACTACTGTACTCCACTCCACTCTATACTCCACTACTGTACTCCACTCTACACTCCACTACTGTACTCCACTCTACACTCCACTACTATACTCCACACTCCACTACTGTACTCCACACTCCACTACTGTACTCCACTCTGTGATTTTTGAAGTGCAATGATTATATCTGCGTCTTGGTGTCCTCGTATTGAATTTAGTTTAGTTGTTGTATTTGTTTTTGAGGCTATATGGACTCATGTGTCTGGAAATAAAGTTGAATTAAATGATCTGTTTTCTGTGATATTTGTTAAATGTTACATGACCATTGCTGTCTTCAAACGTTGTATTCTACTAACCTGTGTTCTATGTGAGGAATGCTATTATTCTGTGTAGCATATAATAAGCATGTTGATGCTTATTATATGCTGCATATACGATGTCTGCTAGCAGCACAGGATCCAGATACAGTGTTATTAACATAACAGCTATAAAAACGACATAAATCAACGTCACAGTTTACTAAATAGATGTGAATAGTTATACTGGTGTTATAACGTGGATAGTAACTATGAGAGGTGTTGAAATGTTGTTGTTGTAGCTTAGCTTTAGCCTAAACTGGGTTTCTAGACAGACAGCTGTCTGTCTGTCTGTGTCTCTCTCTCTCTGTCTGTCTGTGTCTCTCTCTCTGTCTGTTTGTGTCTCTCTCTCTCTCTGTCTGTCGGTGTCTCTCTCTCTGTCTGTCTGTGTCTCTCTCTCTGTCTCTCTGTGTCTGTCTCTCTGTGTCTCTCTCTCTCTGTCTGTCTGTGTCTCTCTCTCTCTGTCTGTGTCTCTCTCTGTCTGTCTGTGTCTCTCTCTGTCTGTCTGTCTGTGTCTCTCAGTCTCTCTCTGTCTGTCTGTGTCTCTCTCTCTCTCTGTCTGTCTGTGTCTCTCTCTGTCAGTCTCTCTCTGTCTGTCTGTGTCTCTCTCTCTCTGTCTGTCTGTGTCTCTCTCTGTCTGTCTGTCTGTGTCTCTCTCTCTCTGTCTGTCTGTGTCTCTCTGTCTCTCTGTGTCTCTCTCTGTCTGTCTGTCTGTGTCTCTCTCTGTCTGTCTGTGTCTCTCTCTGTCAGTCTCTCTCTGTCT